AACTCCTCTGAAAAGAGTTTGAGTTCTTATTCAAAACTTGCATTCTGATAACTGCACAATTCAATTCCTTTGTCTGAGATCCAATGGACCCATGACAAATACAACAATTCTCTCTGAATAACGAATTAGGTTTGGCCCCATAGGGTTCATTACCCATGTTATAAGGGTTCTCTCTACAACGAAATTCTTCAAATCGAATATCCTCATGAATTTCGTTGCAGGAAGAGTCCACCTGTCCTAACCTAAAAGATACTTCCAGCAGGAATGACCCCATTCTCACTCACGCTGGAGCTTGTCACGTGAAAAACTTCCTCTTTATCGACGGATCCTTCCACGAAAAACATAATTGGAATAAAACTCTCCAATAAGCAGGCAGGACATGAAAAATTGAATAGTCTTTATGCTCACGAAATACCATCCCGTTACACCGAGCGCTATGCAAATAACGCCAGGCCCGAGCGAGAAAAAAAAAAAAAGAAAGCAGCGCAAAAACGGCGACAATAATATTCCACGGCCGGCCCTCGAATTTGTTCCATTCGACTCCCACTTGATCCCCCAACAAAAAAAACCGCACATTCACACTAAAAAAAAAATGAGCGACTCGAAAAAAAAGGAGAAAATCTTCAGCATTTTAACAGTGGCAGTCAAAATTAATACAACAACAGATCAACACAAGCGAGGCCAACATTTTGGAGAAAACAATCTTTTCAGATCCAAAACGAACACATTCTCGCGAGGAAACGAAAGGAGAAAGAAAAGGGAAAATAAAAGCGTCACGACTCGGCAACCTCTTGGAATCCGATGCCCGACAATCTGGCAACAATTCGCACAAGAACGGAAATAAGCGTGCGAAAATCCTTCAATTCAGCACAGCAAGTCGCCTTCAGAGCACCATCACGGATTTCAAGTCAGAAATCATAAAACAAATCTCATTCTGCTAAAATCCAGCGAGATTGGAGCTTCATCGATGGTTGACTATACGTTCTTTCGCCGAAAAAAAAAAGAAAGCCACGAGAAAATACGAAACTCGCATCGCTCCAAAACTTGACAAGATTGTAACGAGAATAGAAAAAAATATTCTGAACATTGAAAAAAGAAAATATCCAAAAGAAAAAAAAATCTGAAAGATATTATTAGAGCAAGAAAAAAGAAGCAAGCAGCGAAGGAATCAAGGAGAGTGGTGATGAATCTCGTCACTGGATCATCTGGAAAAGCAGCTTTCCGAGGAATAGTGTCTTCTTTCCATTGTTTTTTTTTCACCTCTCTGTTCTTCAAAGCAATCATCGTTTCCTGAGTGTCTTCATCAGCAGGAAAAAGTATGCCACGAATCTGTACCCGAACAAAAGTGCCACCATGCAGAACACGTTTCTCCAGAGATGCGCCTGCAAGAAATTCATTCAACACGAGTCATGAGATCAAAATGTCACCAGACAAAATTTTGTTTCCGCCATACACAGAAAAAAAAAACTCTTGAAAAATATATACTGCATCTTTGTCTGACGCCTTTGAATCCTTCAGATTTCAGTCTGAATATGTACGATTATGTACCAGCAAAAGTTCTCGGAATAGAAATGAAAATAGCTTATAATCGAGCTGAAAAAATTATTCTTTAGGGAAAACATATTCTTCGGCACAAAAAAAATCAGCCCTGTGTGACAAATTTGTTTGTCACACAGGGCAGAATTTTGCTCTCCACTCAAGAGATGAGGCGCCCTTCCTGCAGTTTTTTTTTTTTAGCCCAGCTTTTCCCTCAGAATTCTTGAAATCAACGTTGCAATAATTCCAAGGGTTTCCTCCAGGTCTTCCAAGGTAATTACGCTATTTTCATCAACTTTCATCAAGAATAATTTTCCTCAAGAATACTTTTTTCAGCTCATACGACATTCTCATTAATATTCCAAGAACTTTTGTTGGAACCCTCGTAGAGCAATTCGGCATATATGTAAGTTTAGCTGTCTGTCGTCACGAAGTCACAGGAAAAATAAGCACGTTTAAACCAGAGCACGAAAAATCGGGATAACAGCTCCTCGTTTCTCTTTTATACCTTTCATCGATTGATCCCATCATATTTTCGCTCAACACAGGTTTAATCATTTCTTTGAAGCTTCCGAATTCATCACATCTCAATTCAAAATGTGTCAGCTGCATCAATTTTTTGTCAAATGCCGAAATTAGCCGGATCGTCGATTCAACGGCGATTCAATTTCGGACATTCAATAGAGGGGAAAGAGATGTCCAATGCACACAGAAAATAGAAACTGCGTTTGATGGGTGAAAAATCATAAAAATTAAAATTTTACATCAATCGCACAGACTTCGATTGCAAAATTTAAAAGAAACATAAATGACTCGTAAGCGTTTTCTTCAGACCATCTGAAGCATTGGCCGCATATTCAATTAAACCATTGAGACTTGTTTTCAAATACTGTACTGCATATCGAGTCTGGGCAACATTCGATTTGTTTGTTGAAAATTTTTTGAGATGAAATGATAAGACTAAAAAACACACATTTCCAGTGTTCTTTTCTAATTTAGCACCCCCCGAAACATTTTTTGCTTGACAGTCGCTCACCCATAGATGTGTGACTTACTGTGTTAATACTGTATTTTCAACTGCGATAAAAATTATTTCACTTGATTTGCATCATCTCAAGATAATTTTTGAAACCATAATGACAAAGAAAAAAGTAGTACCCGAAAACAGCAGAAGTTGTGCCGGAGAAAAATATTCACTGCCGGCCATCCATCGCAAAAACTGACAGGTTTTTTTTCTTCTTAAATTTCTGTCTCGTCTTCATCAAACGTTACGAAAATTCACAAATAATTTTCCAGACTGCCTATTGGTGATTTAAACGATGAAAAATATATCTAAGGTCTGGTGAATTAAAATGTAAATACTGAGAAATAATAACATCGCACGACTTTCGCAGCTTCCCAAGTTTTCTCCTTCACTGCACCTCCCACCAAATTCCCCCATCCTTTGAAAAGACTTACTCGCTCCCGTCGAAATCGTGACAAGAGGAACTGAAAGATAGATCCCACACGTAACAATCATCAATGGAAAAAAATAATAAAAAGAGACTAATTTTAATGCCGAAAAAAGAATTTTGAATATACAGTATCCCTTCATTCCGCCGCCCGCGTCCTGGCGCCACAAAAAAGAAAACCTTATCCTCTAAGAAGACCGTGACGTGGCAGAAAAAAAATATACTTATAGAAATAGAGAATGACAGGGAGATAGAGAGAGGGGATAGACATACTGAATAAGTTTTCGTATTGTTCGGGGCTCGAAAATAAGAGGCAGGGAAAAAAAATAACAAGTGGAATAGTGGGAACAAGTGAGGAGCAATTGGGATTCCAAAGTTGCATTGTGCACTCCGCTGGGCCTTTACGAAGTCCCCACTGGGGAATACAAGAGGGCAATGATGAAATAGCTCAGGAAATAAAATAAAATGAGAGGGGAAAAAAAGCAGAAGGAGAAGAAAAAATGTAGAACGTGAAAAGGAAAAACAAGGAGAACAGCCCATGCCGAACACATGCAAACCAGGAGCCTTAGTATATAGAGAGAGCCGTCGTCTGAATAAAGTGAAAAGGCGCGGCTCTCTCTTTGAAACCGACCAGTCCGAAATGTCAACTCCATACAGTTGAACCTCTCCAAGTGGAACTTCAAGGGACCAGCAAAAAAATTCGACTTAGGGAGGTTTTGAATTTATCTACAATAAAAAGCATTTTTTTGTGCTGGGAAACATATAAAAATTGCTCAAAATGGTGAATTGTAATCTTCTGAGGCTGAAATTACTTCCTAAATCAGTTGAAAACATCGTGAACTTGGAGCCAGGGTTCATTTGCCCAATTAAGTCTCTCACCTCATTTTAAAACAAATCCATTTTATGTTTTATTGCATTTTTTCTTTCCCGTATAAAAAAAATAAAAGCCAACAGGCCACCGAAAATTCAACTTATGGAGGTTTGAGGGAAAAAGCCTTTGACTTACGGGAGGTTTAAAATGCATTAGTTCCAAGGGGATTCAGACAGAACCTGAAAAAAAAATTGACTTAGGGGGGTTTTCAACTAAGGGAGCTTTGAGTTATTGAGGTTCGCATGTATTAGAGACTAAACAATAGTCAAGCAGTCTTTTGAAAAATAATTTTTTGATTCTGGCAATAGATGGCAATCCTTGGCGGATTTCATAAATTCCATCTGGAAACAAGCTGAAGACCTTGTGCTTTAAATTAATAGCTACACTGATATTTTGTTTTCGATGTCAGGGAAGGAAGGGGTGTATGCATACATGTTAGTTGTCCAGTTGTATTTTGTGGATTGTATTTTCATTTATTTTTGTTATCCTTTTGTTCTCTGTTTCCTGCTCTGAAGTGATTAAATGTCTTTAAGTTGATTTGGGTTGGGTGGGGAGGGGGTTTGGATGTGGAAATCTCGATTGAACCTTGAAAAGGCTGAAAAAAATAAAGCTTTATGTTCATTCATTCATTCATAAATAAACTTTTTAAGAGATTTTTCAATGAATGAATGCACCCAATTGTTTTCATTCAAGTACAATTAAAATGTGAAAAAACACCATGATACGCTTTTGTGGATGAGCCAAATATTCTACAGTTGAAGCCATTAAAAAATCAATATATCATCTTCTTCCATCTAGCAACTTGAAGGAATGAATCAATTCAATTATTTTTTAATGAATTTTGATCATAATTATAATATATTCAACCAATAAAAATGCAAAAACTCCTGCAGTTTTTGTGCACTTGTTGTGATTGTGATTATATCAGTTTTACCCCAATCACAAGCCTTCAAAAAAAATCAATACCCAATTGCAATCACTATTCCAATGCCTAACCATTTGCATTGCTCAATCAAAACCGCAATGCTTGTGATCGTGATTGGCCCAAGTTGTAGCGCAATCAACAACCCCGCTTCCAACCCAATTCGAATGAAACATAAAAAAAATACACGGAAAAACATAATAGGCAGTGAGTGACAGGATTAACTCACGGGATCAAAATTGTAGTAGCTGAGCACCGAGGGGCCGTCTTGGAAGAGACAGGTTCCAGTCGCATTGTTGTGCGCAGAGCAAGAGATGCTGCCCACGTTGCTCCACTGGTTCACGGCCAGGGATTCGTAGCCATACAAGAACCACGACAGCCACTTCAGCCATTCGAAGTACACCGGAATGGAACTGTGCAAAGCAGGATGAAAAAATAATAATAATAATGAGACAAGTCGAAGGAATAAAAAAGTCACGAAACATCTAGGATTTTCTCTCGAGGCTCGTCACTATAAATGCGATAAAAGGCGTCATTATTGACAGGCCATTAATTTTTCCGGGGTTTCTCTCGGTAATTAGAGCTGGCAACAACCGGCGAGTTGGAAGAACAAGCCTCAGTCGAACAATTTGTTTTTTTCCCCATTTTAAAAATTATTCGTCTGATAATGGTCGAATTGAGAAAGGTCGCGTATTTGCTGGAGAGACACAATATCGAAGCACTTAATTCATCGTTCAACCGCACGAGGATTTATTCTATGCATATTTCGAGCGAGATTTTTTCAAGAGCTATGCATCAAATTGAGTACACGTGCTTCGGTTGAATTCGTTTCGATAATTAAAAATAACATTTAAAAAACAACCCACCATGGCATCAATCTTTGTCTGCTGAGAATAATTTCGGTCATTCATCATCAAAGGAACAATGTTCAACATGTCTGTTGAAGTACCATTTAAATGCTTGTCGGAGCTCTCGACCATTTAAGGAAAAAAATTTGGAAAGATGCGAAAACAATCTCAATAATTTATTGAAAATTTCAACGAACACCCCAATTCCTCGGGTATCAGGATGAGAAAACTTTTGAAGCCGTGCATAAGTTAAGAATTTGAAAATTCGGTTCTTCGTGTTTCAACGGAGTGCAAACATTTTGAATGTTACAGTCGAAAATTACACGCCCGATTCTCAAATCTAATATACCATGAAGGAAATACTTCCTCAAGCATTCATCAGAATAAAAAAAAAAACATTATACATGATTTCATAAGCTGGGACGTAATGTGCAATTTTCCGAACCCCCAAATTTTTTTTTTTAATCGTCAAGCGCGTTCTCATTTAATAATCCCTTCGCGACGCAATTGATAAAATGGTCATCGATTGTGGACCAAAAATGACGCAAAATTCTGGACGGGAAGACAAAGAACGACGTGAGACTCGTGTGCTTTACATAAATATTTCATCAGCGAAATTTCTAATAATAGACCTCCAGGAAAATCGAAGCCTCTCGACCGCAATCGGGAATTCACAGGGATGCGAACCGTTTAAAGCACAAATATCTTTTCATTTTGTACATCATTCGTAATTTATATTAAATTCGTACATTCGGAATTCATGTTAAATCGTGCCTTCGACATCTACGAAATACAATTTTAAAGACTTTAATCCTCACTCATCGAAAAAATACCAAAATATTGCCAGTCGTAATTTCTGCAGAATTCCTGTGTCCTGATTTCGAACGGCAAATTAAGGGGGCACTATTAAATACGCTGTATAATAGCTCAACAATTGCGAATGATAATTTTATTTGAATGGTATCCCGTTGTTTCGGTGTTGCTAAAATCCATTATTCAATTGTCATCATCCAGAAATTTGAAAGCAGTATAAAAATAAAGTTGCGAGACTTTTAAAATGTTTAATGACACACGCATGCCCTGGATATGGTTGAATTGAATCTATAAAAAGCTCTCAAATAAAAACGAATATATATGTCATTTATCATTCGAAATCAGACTCATTAAAGCAACAGCACTTGAAAAAAAAATTGCGAATGACACGGGAAAAATAGTTTCCAATGAGTCCGAAATTAGATCCAGCAAAACAACGGATCAAGGCATTATAATTTAGACGGAATTTCATCTGGGTGGTATTACCCTGGGACAAATTTCCAATGCCGTAAAACTTTGAGAAACATTACAGAAAAGTTACAACTTCATTTTATCCGGCCAACAGCGAAGGAAGCAAATTTGCGTGAACACTACCTCGTTCATTCCGCAAATTTACACATCAGGGGAAATGGAAAACATCAACTCGGATGAAACTCGTTCTTCCGGAATAACGTTCTCGGTCTTCTTCTTCTTCGTCCTAATAAGAAGCAGCATTTCAAGAACCGCAGTGTATCTTATACTGTAGTACAGTACATAAGTCCCATTTAAATTCGTAACTACTTCCGCTTCAGCGGATCAGCTTTCCGCGAAAATGCCCAAGTTTTCTCACCCGCCATTCCGAATCCCTCGCTTTCGCCGGGATTAAAGTCGCCGCTTCGAAATGCGTGGAACTCGGAAGTGCTCCGGAAAGTCGAGGAAATCCGCTTCCGAGGCGGAAAGAAATTGTTCTTCCTCGGGTCTCGTAAAACGGTAGAAGAGAGAAGGGGGTTCTAGGATGGGGGTTGTTGAGTTATTTTCGATAAAATGCGGGGAACGGAACGAAGTCCCGAAAGACGGAAGGCTGCAATTCAAATATTAATCCACGCAGGACTCGTTCCACTGATCGATTCCCCCCCAACACGGGCGAGAAGCGTCAGGTACGATTTGTTACCCCCCAACAACAACAACAACTTGCTTTTCGGGTTTCCCACAATGTCTTCTTGAGTTTTTTTCTGCATAAAATAACGAGCCTTTAATCGCCGAATTCTATAAAAATCATTGCGACTCTTTCAACTCGAAAATAGCCGAAAAATCCTCTCTGACCTCGCTAACAGGAACCTACCTCAGACAAAAATATCTTTATTTCGAATTTTATGCCTTGCTGACTGAAAGATTTTCCCATCAAATCTCTGTAGAGACCCCCACATGCGGACACCTCGATCTGCGGACAATTCGACATAGAGACACTTATTTTCTCATAAAATTTCAATAAAAAAGTCCCGACTAGAGGACACTGGCTCAACAAGGGACATTTTGTGATAAAATTGCAAATACATTTTCAACCAAATTGCAAGAAACAGATATTTCTGTTCCTAAAATTGATGTAAAACAAGTTCTTGGGCATTTCTCTTACCAATTTACCATCCATTTAGATAATCAGAAAAAATTACCTCCAGCAGAGAGGGACTTCCTTCTCTCTTTTTTACTAGAATATTATTTTTACAGAGAATGCCAACATTTCTACATACAGTACAGATGAGGTATCAGTATTCAATTCCCCAAATGTCCATATTGTGTTGAAATACAGTATATTGATTGGAATCAGTTTAAATTGGGCGACAATTTTTAATTTCATGAAATTTTTATGGTGAGTATTTTGAACATAAAACGCCAATTAAAACCTATATAATGTAAGTCTAAGGGAAAATGAGACTCAGCTTAGGGGCATTTTGACTTAGGGACATTCTTGATGCACCAATTACGTCCGCATCTCGGGGTCTCACTATGCTTTTGGGCTATTATTCCCAGGAAATAGAACAGCAGTAAGAATATAACTTGGTGCTTTTTCAATAAGGAAAGTCAGCGACTATAATTGGGCAAATGTACCCTAGCCTCCATGTTCAGCATCCTGTCAATCGATTTACACAAGCAGTTGAAGGCTCAGAATATCAGAAATTTTACATTTCTTCAATTCTTCATTTTTTCCCACAGCAAAATTACTAGTTTTTTTTTCAACTCAAAAACTCTCCAAGCAGATTGTTTTTGTGGTTCACTCTGAATTCGACTTAAAGAGGTCCGTCCGACTGAAGAAATGCGACGGAAAACAATAATTCCGTTCAATATTCATAGAAACAACATTAATTGAATTTTTGCCAGAATTAGCCATCAAAAGCCGGTGTTCATCTTATACTGCCGATTTCACATTGAAAAAATCTGAGTCATACTTTTTTTTTTTGGGGGGGGGGGGGGGGGAAAAAACTCTACCCAAATGGTGCGGGGGGTGGGGGGGGGGGGGGGGGGGGGGGGGTAAAATACTGTACCCAAAGTCTCCGTTGATAAGATTTGATCGAGGTCGCAAAAATCTCGAAAAAAAAACTGGACGACGAATCACTTTAACGAACCCTAAATTAATTCAATCTCAGCAATCGCGACCGCAAAGATTAAAAAGCCTGACTGAATCCCACCGACTGCAGAAAGTACTTATAGACGCACTTGACGGCGGCAATTTGACTTGAAAACAAGTTTAACGTGAAAACAAGTTTGTCTTGAAAACAAGTTCCAGACGTAAAATGCGTCAACAACTTTCCCTCCACGTCCTGTGATTTTCCGATGAGATGGAGATAGATGTTGGTAGCTTCATGATGCGATGAGATGGGATTATAAATGGAAAGATACTCACGCACTGTTGAGGAAGAAGCCTCCAAACAACATGAACGGGACGATGATCGGCGGAGCGAGCGACAAAGCCATAGTTATGCTGGTGCTCATACATGAAATCATATATCCTGTAAAGAAAAACAAAAAAATCATCATTAAATCGGCAAACTTAAAATAATGAGGTCATATCTGATGCATCTCCGGAGTGACAACGTCCGATCTAAGGAAGAAAATTATAGTAGATTAAAAAATTAATCTAAAAAACCACGTTTTCAAAAAGCAAAAAATAACCTTATTTGAGTTTCAAAATTTGATCCAGACAAACAGACAGACAGACAGACAGACAGACAAGAAAGTGAGTTCATAAAAACGTGGTAATAAAAAACGTGGTAAAATAATGTCTAGGCGTCCAATATTTCACGAAGACTCAAGTGTCTCAAAATGTTCTTCCACTTCTCCGACGTATTTGTATTTTTCCAGAAACTGAACGAATCTCCTCATTCCCGTTGAAAATTTCCCGGACGAAATCAAAATTCAATTTTGCTATGGATCGAATATTTAAATTCATTGTTTTTACATACGAAGGGGGATTTTAAAATAAATTGCGAAAAATCAAAATGTTGGACTCACGCATTTTACTGCTATAAGGAAGAATTTAAACTTTCTTTAAAACTGAACTTATGTCAGAATGTCATATTTCTACAACCATAGATTTCTGAATACTGTAGTACACAAATTTAATTTTCGTGCTGAATATTTTTCGATCATTCCGATGGTAGAATGACTTTTTCAATATACCGACACTATAATGACGAAATATAGACAATTATCATGGAGAAATAATTCAATCCATCAAACCACAACGTCGGAATATCAAGAAAATGTGTTTCTCAAATTGCCTCTGCTAATTTGCCTCAGGAGTCTTAGAAGACTCGGATAAACAATAGAAGATGGAGCTAATTAAAAAATAGTGATAATTGATGAATCGATAACCCCCAATTCATTTCTGTTCACGCAGGTTGGAACAGAAAAAGACAGGCATTGAACTATTGCCCTATCAGAACAAAAATCAAGCTTTCCACGCAAAATTTGGAAATTTAACGGATTTTCAGGCAGTAAAATATTTCGAATCATTGAAGAAAAACGATCTCGAAGACGATTCCACGAGTCATCGCGACCGTATTCAAAATGAAAAAAAAAGTCAGGATCTTCATAAATTTCTCGTCAGTGATGATGAATGATGTGTCCGTGACTTCGGCTGTCATCCCGGAATGTCAAAAGGTGATCAAGAAGTAGCCCAAGTCTCGGCCACAAAATAATTAAAACCTTCAAAGTACAAGGAACAGAGCCTTGTTTTTTTTCCTGTATTTTCTCTATTAATCCCATCAACGTGAGTTCGAATAAATCTGACCCAGAAACGCAAGTACTGTGTTGCATTAATTCAAGGCACTGAACCTCGTGAACTTACATGTAAATGCGCAAGTTCATTACATGCCTCGTTTCACTAAAGATACACTTGCTTCCAAATTCCAAAATCGCGACAGAAAACTTGACCCAGCACCCGAATAAGCATTATGCAGGTTGCTCAAGGAATCAAGACGACTAAAATTTGCCTTCCAGAAAAATACTGAAACAAGGGGGTTTTCTTTGCGGGAACAAGTTCTCATTCCCTCGACGTCGTCGTCGTCATCAGGCGAAAGGAACAAACCCGCGAAGCGAATAAACCCTCCGATTGACGTCGGCATGTTCCACTCTTCACAGGAATAAATTCGGGTTCCCTCGAACAGGCGGATTTTTTTTTTTTTTGAATTAATGAAACCGGGCTACATGACATCGGGAACCTTGCTACTGATGGAAAGACTTCACGAGAGGGGGAAAAAAACGAGGTAGAATAGAACACGAAGAAAAAGACCCAGAAGATAAAGATTCACCGAACGAACCGCGTCTCGAGATGAATCTCGGGATTGATTCTCGAAAAAGATTTCAAAACCAGAATAATTTTTTTAAATAGAAAAATTGACATGCTTCCGTTTTCTTTGTTTATTTTTCGTCGTCGACTGATATGTTCACCAGCGTTGATGTAATTTACAAGGTGAACCCAATTAGCAATGACGAACAGGTCTCGTTGACGATTGTGTTATTTATCATGGCATCAAAAGTTTATCTGCAACATGTATCCACCCTTTGCTGCTGTTTATTTTATCCTTTGCTGCTGTTTATATTATCCTGCCAACAAAAATTAAAAAGTCTTCAAAACTGATTTCCAAAAGACTTATAGGATCTTAGCTAAACTTGGCTGTGAATCTGCCAAAACCTTTCTGCACTAGTCAATTTTAAACAAATGGGGCATTCACAGTATACGCGAAAATAATCACACATTATTTATTTTCACTCTGAAATTTCCACATCTTGAAAGTTTTCACCAAAAGATGTGCAGGAATTCAAAAGAATAATGAATAATTTACGCAGGAAACATTTTCCTTCCTCATACACTGAATTTAAAGCCCGAACTGAATTGAAAAATCTTGATGAATATATTTTTTTCTTCAATTGAAACAATTTCAAATTTCGAGGTCAAATATGTATATAACTGAGTTCCTGTTGTGAAACAAACGAATTGAATAGTGTCTATATCCAGAAAACTTCCCTCTTCAGTTATAAAACACAGTACTAAAAAGAAAAATCAAGATTCTTCTTAAAAGCGATGGCGTCTGTTATTCACGTCAATAGGGAAATTCACGCAGAGTTTTCCTCCGGTAATTGTTAAAATTTTTCTTTGTCAACTCATTTTACAAGACTTGAATGCAGGAATTTTTCAACCTCCTTCCTACATCTTATACGGCTACCGTCATCGCCTCTGTTCCAGGAAACCGGACTCGGCCTCAAACAAAAATTTCTTGATTTAATTTTTCGAATAAAAATAAGCAACGTCGACAAGAAACCTGTTCGACACACTTGCTCCAGTTTCATGAACCCGGGCAAGAAAAATCTCGAGTCGCCCCGACACACGACGGCGCCTGTGATTTATGACGCGGAAACATGTTACGGAGGCGGCCGAAAGGACTCGAACAAGTAAAAGAAAAGGGGTTATATTCGTCGGTACTCCAGCAGCAGCAGCATTTGTAATCGCTCAATCGACAATTTGATTTACCCCCACGACTCCCCTTGCTCTTGTTAGCATTGATAATGTATATACTGGTCAGCGAGTGAAGGAGAATCCGACATAATCATTACGATGGGCTCTTCAATAAACCGGACCTGATGGTGAACAAGTGAACTTATCGCAAAAAAGGGGCTCTCCTCTCGGTCACCACACGATTTTCATCGCAAGCGTGCGAAACCAGGTGGTACAATCGTCCTTCATGTTTATAAAAAATAAAAATAAAGTTGATGAAGTTGGGATGCAGTCAGAAATTATTTCACAGGCCTACTACATAATACACTTATATTGGGGCACGAAGAAAATATTAAAAATCGCATGTTTCAATTTTTGGCGAGATCTTTTAGCTAAGGATGTACAGTATTTGTTCTAAACGTTCTTGAAAAATTTTTCATGGATCAGTCTTCTCAAGCAGAGCATATTTTTTGCATCAAAGGCTTCCATTTTTAAAGCATATTTCAATAGATTAATCACTGAGGCAATGATTTTCGTCCAAAATTTTTGAAGACTAGCCAACAGCAAGGGTAAGATGTGGAATAATGTTTGAGGATAGTTTTCCGGAATTTATTTGATTTTATTTTTGAAAAAAAAATACAGTATATGATATGATCAAGATAATGTCCAAGGGAAGTTTTCCAGATTTTATTATATTTTTTCATTTTTATTTTTACAACCAAATCATCAAGAAGTCATTAGAAAAGAGCTCACAGCAAGAAGTCCTCCGGGCACATTGGATGGATTCTAAAATTAATGCATCTATATTGCATATAATTGGCTAAATAGGACGTTTAAATACTTGGAATAAAAATACAGTAATATATAGGCTAAAAGGCATATTACGGTAAATTCCATCCAAATTGATGCGACAATTCTTCGGTTTCGTTCGAGACTAAACTTCCGAGACACCCCTCGCGACTCCTCTAGATTATTCACGGCATCGCACTGAGGGAATGCTCTCACAGCACGCAAAGCAACTCTTCTTCCGATGCGACATATGAATAATTAGGCGGGATGCATATTTTTTTGAAACGAAAAATGCGCTTCCTATGGTATTGTAGTGTATAGGGCATGGCAGAGAGCAAGCTAGTTTTATCGCATCGAGAAAGCAATTGTCAGGCATGAGACAAGGTTCGGATTTTTAGAGATTGATGGACGTATCGAAGCGGGCAGCTGGGCAATGACCAGACCCGATTCCATCATCACGCCGTCAATTAAGCCCGGTAGCGAACGAGATTTGAAGACGGGAGAAAAAAAAAACTGCCCAAATTACTAGGCTGGTGTAACGGAGTGTGTCTTTTCGAAGTCATAATTTCCAGGCTAGAAGCGATTCTCAATCCAACCTGTTCCTATGCATTTAGTGCATCATGGTAGACCTAGAAAAAAAAACCCTTCCCAAACTCACAGAGGAATATTAAATCTACTGTAGAGAGCTTTAGCTTTTAAAAAGTCTCCGCAAACGATGAGTACATTAAATGAAACAAAGAATTGGTCTTTTCCAAGTCATAATTTCCAGGATAGAAGCGATTCTCAATCCAACCTGTTCCTATGCATTTAGTACAGCATGTTAGACATGAAAAAAACCTTCCCAAACTCACCGAGGAATACCGTATTAGATCTATAGAGATTTTGCTTTTAAAAAGTCTCGATCCGCAATTCTGTTCATACGATGAGTACAATTAAATGAAGCAAAAAATTGTTCTTATCGAAGTCATAATTTCCAGGCTAGAAGCGATTCTCAATCCCACCTGTCCCTAAGCATTTAGTACATCATGGTAGACCTAGAAAAAAAGCCTTCCCAAACTCCATGAGAAATTTTAGATATAGAGTTATAGACCCTAGAGCTTTTGCTTTTAAGAAGTATCGATCAGCAATTTTATTTACGAATACACGAAAGGAAAAAAATAGTCTTTTTGACGCCATGATTTCAAGGCTAGAAGCGAAACACTCTACGAGGAATATTTATCTAGATCTAACGTTTTTACTTAAAAAAAGTCCCAATCTACAATTCTGTTAACTCGAGTATATTAAATGAAAATCAAAGTTGTCTTTCCTGAGAAAGAATAATTCTAGTACTTGGACAAACAAAGAATGGGTCAAATGACTCCCGAAGAATCTTGAAGGGCTCCAGATAAAAAAAGAGTTCTAAAAATTTATAAAGGGTTGAGAATCTCTGTTCCAAGAAATATGATAAAGAAAAATTAGTTTATAGAGGTTTTTTCATCATAGATGACTGACAATTGAAGTATTACGGAAAATTGCCTCATTTTTAAAAAAATATTATTTGAAATTTGTCCCCAAAATTACAGACCGCTGCAGTAATTATTATACTCCAGTTCTACCGTTTAAATTTTCACATCTAGAGTCAAAATCATTTCGCAGAACCAATGACCAAATACTGTACTTGTGTTTCAGAAAAAAATTACTGCTAATGCAAAGTCGATGAACAAATGACCATGAGGGCCATTCAAACTTTTCGTGGAAGTATGAAGCTTGAGCAACAGCAGTCAAGCAAATTTAAATAATGCATCCATTCATTCATTCATCAATATATATATGTATTTTATTCAGTCAGAAATTACTCATGGTCTGAATGCGAAAGAACCTTTCGTTCCAATAATTTTCTGACGTTACCTCAATGTTGAGTGAGTGAAACGAATTACGTCCGAACGGAAGTTCCGATCATTACCTTATTCTCAATACACGAACACTCAGAATGACATTATATATGACTGATTCAGGCAGGAAACCGGAAAAAGGAAAGAAAAGTCAATTTTTCCTGAAGTCTTCCGCAATTCGTGGATTGGATCAGGTATGGAAAGAAGTTCACTGTCGAAGGTTACCTGGTTATTTATAAGGTTATGCACCAGGCGTTTCAGTTGAGCGAGTGACTACGAAAAAAAAAAAAAACAACACGAATGCTCCTAATCGAGTTCCGGACCATTTCCAGAAGTCTGCTGAAGCTAGAAGACTTTTCGGTGATCGTTAGATGCATTTTTTATACGTAAAAAAAATGAAACGGGTAAAATACCCTATTCAACCACATGAAGAATGTTCATGCGAATCGGCAGATTCGCAATAAAACGCTTTGTTCCGCGACGATTACGAAAAATCATAGCACTCCTCAATTCTGGTGCTAAAAATATCACTTCAGTAATTATTGTCTATTTACCTTCCAATTATACCGTATATATCAATGAAAATGAATAAAAGCAAAATACATTTTCGTGGATTTTTTGAGGTTTCGTCCCGTTTTGTTTCTGCAGCTTTAATGATTTTTTCTTTGGAAGCAAGATTTTATAATTGTATAAGGTCCAGAAATGTATTTGTCACTCAGAATACTGTGTCGAACTTAGAAAATCTCATATTTTAGGCATAAGGAGCATATCTGCCTAAAAACTGAAACTTCGAAATTATTACTTCATTCTAAGTTACAGTCAACATTATCTCAATCGAATTTTAACTGACCAGTAAAAAAAATCGTGTTAGTGAGGATTCGAGTTAAGGAAACAAGCATTTATGTTGCGGGAAAGATGGAAGAATTGCAAGAAATTAGAAATGGTGATATTCTGCGGCTTAAATTGCTTG